GAAGGAAGGAAGGAAGGAAGGAAGGAAGGAAGGAAGGAAGGAAGGAATATAGCTGTTTCCTGCTGATGGTAGGAATAGGTAATCTGGAACCCTCCATAAATTTCTAAATTTTCAGCCTCCTGCCTGAAATAGTTGGACTAGAAGACCTCTAAGGTCCCTTCCAACGTTGTGCTTCTGTTATTTTTTTTTATTTCTATTAAGTGGCATCCTACCATTGCTACATTGTAGCCTGAACTTCACAGGATTATCAATCCCATTTAGCCAAGAACTGGTGTTCTTCTTGGCTGCAACTGCAACGTTTGGAATGCATCAAGAGTGTACCATTGCTACAATTTGATCTGAAATGCATAGGTTTATCAACCTCTTTTAGTCACTGATAAGAAACTCGTGTCCTTCTTGGCTCCCTCTCCAATATTTGGAAAGAAAGAACACAGCAAGTATTCAGGCCAATTCTTACAGGGAGAGGCATCCTCAAATGATTATACAACACTGGAAGAATCAATCTATCCACAACACTGAATTGCTGATATGTTCTGTTTGTCAATGTCTGAACTTGTTTTTCTTCAACATTAGGACAAGAAAAATCATTCCCCGAAACTGTCTGGGTTTTTTTTTTCTTCTCTTTAACATACAAATTTCCAAACCTTCCCTTTCCCATTTTCAAACTTAAACTGCACAGAGATAGTTTAGAATGTAAACCACCGATTTACTTTAAATGGTTTAGTGCAGTGGTGGCTAACCTTTTGGGGCTCTTGTGACAAACAATGTGCACACACTTGCATACTCGTGCTGGTATGCCAGCACCCAGAAGGCAATATGCACCCATCCCATGCCCCCTATGCAATCCCCACTGCCCACCACCCACTTACCTGCCCTGCGCCTCACAGCTCATTTTCAGCCAGTTTGAGGCCTTTTTCAGCCTCCCAGAGGCTTCAGGAAGGCTTCTGCGGGCTTCTCAGGCCAAAAACTCGGCCTGTTTCATCACTTCCGGTATTTCTGAAAAAATAAGAAGTGACAAAACAGCCCTAGTTTTCAGCCTGAAAGGCCTGCAGAAGAGTTCCTGAAGTCTCTGGAAGGTTGAAAAAGGCCTCGAACCAGCCAAAAATCAGCTGTGAGGCGCACACATGTGCAGTGAGGCAAATTTGCTTGCAGCTCATGTGCTCTGTGTACCACCTGTGGCACGTGCGCCATAGGTTCACCATCATGGGCTTAGTGTCTGAATAACCTTGCATGAGGATGATGATGATGATGGTGTGTGTGTGTGTGTGTGTGTCAGAATAAACATTTTGAGCACTACACTAGACCCCCCCGCCCCCAGGTCAAACACAACCCTGATGCAGCCCTCAATGAAATCAAGTTGGACACCCCTGGTACAATAGTAGGATTCAATTTTTTTTACTACTGGTTCTGTGGGCATGACTTGGTGGGCGTGGCAGGGGAAGGATATACTGCAAAATCTCCATTACCTCCCCAATCCACTAACCTGCTTTCCAGCTCCGTTCTCCTGTGCAAGGCAACAAAATAAGACCAAGCTGATCAGCTGGGACTTGGGAGGCAGAGAATGGGCAGGGCCTTGGGCAGGGCCTTTCAGAGGTTCTCCAAAACCACTCAAAATTTCCACTACCGGTTCTCCAGAACTGGTCAGAACCTTTTGAATACCACCTCTGCCCTGGCCTAATTTAAATAGTTTCTTTTAGGGATGTGTAGAATTCATAAATGACAGTGCTTCTGGTACAGATGACTGATAACCAAACCTGCCAAAACTATTGCAAAGGGCATGGCTTGGAAACAAAACATATCAAAACAAAACTCAATGAATTTAGCAGGTTCCTAACTTCTTTTATTACCGGGGAACAGAGATACGGGAACTCAAGAGCTTTCCTAAGGAGCACAATGTAGTTTGCAAAATTGGGGTAGAGTTTTGTAACCCCTGTTTTTTTTTTTTTTTTTTGCATATCCTTGGTTTAAACCCCCAGTTTCCAATCTTGACAACTCGCAGACTTCTGGAATAGAATAGAATAGAATAGAATAGAATAGAATACTTTATTGGCCAAGTGTGATTGGACACACAAGGAATTTGTCTTGGTGCAAATACTCTCAGTATACATAAAGAAAAGTTACATTCGTTAAGAATCAAGAATCATAATGTACAACACTTAATGATAGTCATAGGGTACAATCAACAATCAAATCATAGTAGGAAACAGTCAATATAAATCGTAAGGATACAAGCAACAAAGTTACAGTCTTACAATCACAAGTGGGAGGGGGATGGGTGATAAGGAGTGATGAGAAGATTAACAGTAATAGTAGTGTACACTTTGTAAATAGTTGAACAGTGTAGAGGGAATTATTTGTTTAGCAGAGTGATGGCTTTCAGGAAAAAAACTGTGTCTAGTTGTTCTGGTGTGCAGTGCTCTATATTGTCATTTTGAGGGAAGGAGTTGAAACAGTTTATGTCCAGAATGTGAGGGGGTCTGTAAATATTTTCACAGTCCTCTTTTTGACTCGTGCAATATACAGATCCTCAATGGAAGGGAGGTTGGTAGTAATTGTTTTTTCTATAGTCCTAATTATCCTCTGAAGTCTGTGTCTGTCCTGTTGGGTTGCAGAACCAAACCAGAGTTATCGAGGTGCAGATGATAGACTCAATAATTTCTCTGTAGAACTGTATCAGCAGCTCCTTGGGCAGTTTGAGCTTTCCGAGTTGGCACAGAAAGAACATTCTTTGTTGTGCTTTTACTCCCAGAATTCCCCAGCCAGCTTGAAGACTTGTGGACTTCAAACTGGGGGATTCTGGGACCTGAAGTCCACAAGTCTTCAAGTTGCCAAGGTTTAAACAAAACACCACTTAGTGCAGGGGTGTCAAACTCAAGGCCCGTGGGCCGAATCCAGCCCATGGCGTGCTTCGATCTGGTCCACGGGGATACCCTGAAAACAGTAAAGGATCAGCCCACAGTGTTTCTGCGCAGCCATCCCAAGCTCTGTTTTTGCAGGCAGAGGATTGTAGGAGGCCATTGCAGGACGTAGATCCCAAGGAGCTGCTGATCCAGTTGCAACCCAACAGGACAGACACAGATTTCAAAGAGTAATTAGGACTGCAGAAAAAACAGTTACTACCAACCTGCCTTCCATGGAGGACTTGTATACTGCAGGAGTCAAAAAGAGGGCTGTGAAAGTATCTACAGACCCGTCACATCCCCGACATCAACTGTTTCAACTCCTTCCCTCAAAATGACGCTACAGAGCACTGCGCACCAGAACAACTGGACACAAGGACAATTTTTCCCCAAATGCCATCGCTCTGCTAAACAATTAATTCCCACAACACTGTCCAACTATTTACAAAGTCTGCATTACTATTAATCTTCTCATCTTTCCTTTCACCCATCTCCTCCCACTTGTGACTGTATGACTGTAACTTTGTTGCTTATTGACTATTTGACGTTATTGACTGTTTCCTAGTATGATTTGATTGCTTATTGTACCGTATGACTATTATTAAGTGTTGTACTTGATGATTCCTGACTCTTGACAAATGTACCTTTTATTTTATGTATACTGAGAGTATTTGCTCCAAGACAAATTCCTTGTGTGTCCAATCACACTTGGCCAATAAAAGAACTCTGTTCTGTCATAGCCGAAAATGGAGCTTGGGAGTCTATTTTTGCTAGCAGAGTGCTCGGGCGACTACAAGCACCCCAAAATGAGTGACATCAAGCTGTCCAAGCCCACCCTGGTCATGCCCTCCATCAAACACAACCCTGATGCGGCCCTCAATGAAATCAAGTTTGACACCCCTGGCTTAGTGCAATGTGTGAATGCAGCCTCTTCCTGTGTCATAAAGGCTGGGAAGCTTATAATGCCAGCAATCCACCTCCCCATCCCTTTTCTTCCTTGTCTCCTCCTCCTCCTCCTCCTCCTCTCCCACAATTGTTATAATCAAAACTATAAGCACTCAACTTTTAAACAAGTGAGCAATCAAAAACGCTCCAGCTGGAATAACTGCTATTCCTCCCAAGACCAAGATCCCCAGCTATTGGGCGAGTCTACCCACCCAGCATCTCCCAAAGGATGGGAACTGTAGTCCAAACCCTTAGGGGGGGGGGGAGGACAGAAATGCTAATTTAGGAAAGAGTTGGCGTGGGTGTCCTAGAAGAAGTAGCTGACTCAATTCCACTCAGGAAACCACCCTTAAAATTACGCGCCCCGCATGCCGAACTCCACCCAGCGTCTCCCCGCCTTCCTTTGCAGCTGGGCCACTTCTAAAACTCTGCGTACGCTCAGAGACCTCTTGTCTCCTGGTCCCCCCCAAGCCGGGATTGCAAGCTTAGTGCCTCGCAAGCCACTTCGGGCACCGTTTCCAGAGCTGGCCAAGCGCCTCTCCAAGCGCAGCCGCGCCTCTCCAAGCGCCCTTCCGCGCCACCGAGCGCCGAAGCGAAGTGCCCCGGGGGCGTTGGGAAGCGTGTCTATCCAGCCGACCCCAACCGCTTCCCCGCCTCCACTCACCGTCTGAGCTGACCGAGTCGTAGGGATCCCGCTGGCCGGAGACTCGGGGTGCTCCGTCCGCCCCGGGCTGGCTGTAGTCCACCAAGCTGAGCCCCTCCAAGGCATCGTAGCCGGCCCGCGACTGGTCCTCCACCGGCACCACGGTGAAGTGCGGCATGGCCGCGGCGGGACGTCGGAAGAGCCGCCGCCTCCTCCTCCTCCTCCTCCTCCTGCCGTCCCCGCCTGGCTCTCCGTCCGCCGCGCCCGGGGCTTAGCCGGAGCAGCTCGACAAGGCGAGCGGGAGACGCGGCGCGGCAGCCTCGGCCGAGCCAGGCTGGCATTCCAGCGGCCTTGGGTCACTTCCTCCCAGGAAGCGCGGCTCGGCGACGCCCCCCACTCCCGCTCCGAGGGACTGCAGAGCAGCCAGCCAGAGCGCTCCGGAGGAGGGAGGGAGAGAAGGAGGGAAAAAGGGACTCCGGCTCGGCTCGGCGCCAGGGCCAGAGCCGCTTAGCCGGCGGGCTCCGACGCGCAGCCCCCGAGGGTCCGCCTCGCTCGCCCCTGCCGGCGCGCCCTTCACTTTGGCCCCGGGGGGAAAAAAGTTTCCCGCCGCTCAGAGTTGCCGCCGGGGGTGTGTGGGGGTGTGTGTTCTTGGTGCTCTCTTGGTTGTTCCCTTGCAGACGTTTCCTTGCCCAAACTCGGTGAAGTTGACCCGGGTCGTCTCCCTCGCAACCCTGCGCGCTGGATTCACGTGTCCCCCTTGCCTGACGAGCTCGCTTTTGCAGCGCGAGCCTGAACCTTAGCCCGGCGAGCCCAGGGTGGAAGTTCGCACGCCTCAAAGGCACCAACGTGCCTACCGTCCCTGTCCTATGGTTTATTTTTTATTTTTTTATTTCTTTTATTTGTCTTATATGCATCCATTTCATGTATCCATAACTATGTTTATACTTATACCTGTTATCTTATAATTGCTTGACAAAATAAATAAATAAAAATAAATAAATAAGCTCTGGCTCGTTGGGGGGGGGGGGTGTTGTGTGAATGCAACTGATTTGGGGTTTATTCAGCACACAGTGGCTTATGCCAGAGAGTGAACTCAGCCGTGTTTGGGGTATTGTGTGAATGCAACGGATGGAGGTTTATTCAGTCCACCGTGGCTTATTCCAGAGTGTCAACTCAGTTTCATCTGTTTGAGGTTTTGTATGAATGCAACTGATTGGAGTTTATAAGCCCACCATGGCTTATTATAGACCGTGAACTCAGCTGTGTTTGGGGTATTGTATGAATGCAACTGATTGGGGTTTATTCAGCCCACCATGGCTTATTCCAGAGTGTGAATGCTGGGTTTAAGGTGTTGTGTGAATGCAACTGATTAGGGTTTATTCAGCACACCATGGCTTATTCCAGAGTGTGAATGCTGGGTTTGAGGTGTTATGTGATTGCAGCTGATTAGGGTTTATTCAGCATAAGATGGATTATTTACTGTAGACCGTGAACTCAGCTGTGTTTGGGGTGTTATGCACTTACTCCAGAATGTGAACTCAGCTACTGTTCAGCTGCCAATAATTCTGCTATAATAACAACATCCTCCTCTTTATTTAGACTTTTCCATGTCTTCATGCTGACTGGTAGGTAAATATTTACCTGATTGAGAGGTCTGTTTGCTAACTTAAGGCAGGAGTCACACAATGGGCTGCCTTACTTGCGATTTGTGAAACCAAACAGAGATGGGTTCACACACTGCAGGGAGGCTTAACGTGGTTAGTGGTTTTGGCTCGGCAGGCTATGTGAGCAGAAACATGGCAAATCATGGTTTATGCATTTACAAAAGCAGCCCAGTGTGCTTTACCAAACAAACCATGATATAGTATAATCTGTGAACCAAGACATAATTTCCTCTGGGCTGAATTTATTTATTTTACTTATTTTATTTGTCAAAAGCTTACAATATAACAGAAACAAGAATAAACATAAGTTTAAATACAAGAAATAGGAACTAATAATTGGGGATAATAGGACAGGGACGGTAGGCACGATGGTGTGCTTATGCACGTTCCTTACAGATCTCTTAGGAACGGGGTGAGGTCAATAGTGGATAGTTTGAGGGTAAAGGAGTGGGAGTTGGAGCAGGTAACAACAGAATCAGGTAGCGAGTTCCAGACATTGACCACTCTGTTGCTGAAATCATACTTCCTGCAATCAAGTTTGGAGCGGTTTACCTGTAGTTTATATCTGTTGTGTGCTCTAGTGTTGTTGTTAAAGCTGAAATTGAATTGGACTTGGGGAGAGGAATGCAAAAGGGTTTATGCTAATCCATGTTTACTCTAAGTATCCCTTTGAGCTATGCAGCTAATGATAAAACACTGTGAATGTATTGGCACCCTTCAGTCTCAAAAGACTATGGTATCGTGCTCTGAAAAGAGGTCCTAAAACAGCATCTAGCGTGGCTAAAAAAGCCAATTTGACACTGCAATCCCTTCCACACTGAGGACAGACACAGTCTGACCCCTGCCCAGCACCCCAGATTTCACTGCCCCTTTGTCAGCCTGCCAAGAGCGTCTCTTCTTCAAATTGGAGAAGGTCATGCTGTGTCTTTAGCCTCCAAGCTGAACAATCAGAGATCAAGGTTTCCCAGCTGTTGATGTCCATTCCCAAGGCCTTTAGATCCCCCTGGCAGATACCCTTATATCGTAACTGTGGTCTCCTTTTCGGGCACTTTCCCTGCACTAATTCTCCATACATGAGGTCTTTTGGAGTCCGACCATCAGCCATCCTCACAACCTGCCCAAGCCAGCATAGACGTCACTGCTTCAAGAGTACATAACAGGCTAGAAATTCCAGCACATTCCAAACACTGTGAATTACGGTTTGGTAATTTGAATTTGGACTGGAAATGCTCATCTTGGATTCTTGACATTGAACAGATAATTCTCCCTCTGCAAGGGACTCCAGGTTTGGTAAGCCGTGCAGGCTAATTTTAGATGAAGAGTCCCACCCCGCAAAAAATCAAAATTGCTTTTCCCCTCCCTTTTTGCAAGAAAGTGACATACAGATTTTTTTAGATTTTAGATAAACAGAGTTGGAAGGGAACTTGTAGGCCATCCAGTCCAACCCTCTGCCTAAGCAGGAGACCCCACATCATTTCTGACTGATTGCTGTCCAGTATCTTCTTGAAAGCCTCCAACTTCTGAAGGCAACTTCTGTTCCATCAGTTGATTGTTCTCACTGTCAGAAAATTCCTCCTTATTTCCAGGTTAAATCTCTCCTTGATCTGTTTCCATCCATTATTCCTTGTCTGGCCTTCGGGCGCTTTAGAAAATAGCTTGACCCCCATTCCTCTTCTCTGTGGCAGCCCCTCAAATATTGGAAGACGGCTATCCTGTCTCCCCTGGTCCTTCTCTTCACTAGATTAGCCAAGCCCAGTTCCTGCAACCGTTCTTCATGTCTCCAGTCTCCTAATCATCCTGGTTGCTCTTCTCTGCACTTTTTCTAGAGTCTCAACGTCCTTTTTTTATAATTTTATAACCAAAACTAGATGCAATACTCTAGGTGTGGTCTTATAAAGGCTTTATAAAGTGGTATTAGTACCTCACTTGATCTTGATTGTATCCCTCTGTTAATGCAAATCGGTTGATTGTTCTCACTGTCAGAAAATTTCTCCTTATTTCCAACTTGAACCTCTCCTTGTTCAATTTCCATCCATTATTCCTTGTCTGGCCTTCGGGTGCTTTGGATAATAGCTTGACCCCTTCTTCCTCCTCTCTGTGGCAGCCCCTCAATTGTTGGAAGACTGCTATCCTGTCTCCCCTGGTCTTTCTTGTCACTAGACTAGATTAGATCGTTCATTCTGTTTTTGGCTTCTTGCAGATATCCCTTTCCACAGTTAAGGGAGAAAAGTAAAGGTGAGGCCCTGATTACAGAACCAGATTTTTGGGGAAAGGACATATTGGCTGACTCTTCTCTGACACCTTCCAGGGAGGAGAGGCAACTGTATTGAGGAATGTGATGAAGGCAGGAAAATTGGGAAGGCGGGGAGAAATGTAGCAGAAGGATGATGATTATGAGGAAAATAAAGAGACAGAACCTTACTTATATTTTAAATAAATGAATAGTGAGTCGTGACCATTTTTCACACTTACGACCATTGCAGCATCCCCATGGTCACGTGATTTACATTCAGATGCTTGACAACTGACTCATATTTATGACGGTTGCGGTCTCCCAGGCAGAGGTGGTATTCAGCCGGTTCTGACCAGTTCTGGAGAACCAGTAGTAGAAATTTTGAGTAGTTTGGAAAACCGGCCAATGCCGCCAATCCCACCTTTGACTGTCCCAGCCCCCATCTCACTGCCTCCCATTGAGTCCCAGCTGATCAGATGGGTCTTCTTTGGTTGCCCTGCACAGGAGAACAGAGCTGGAAAGCAGGTTAGTGGGGTGGGGAAGCAATGGGGATTTTGCAGTATCCTTCCCCTGCCACGGCCACCAAGCTACGCCCACAGAATCTGTAGTAAAAAAAATTTGAATGCCACCACTGGTTGCTTTATCCAGAGGTCAGAAGGCACCTTCTCGGCTGCCTGCTCACCTGTGCAGGAGAAGAGAGCTCTTTGCCCCTGTACGTTATTTCCTTGAGGACTTCTGACATTTTGAGGGCCGTCTGCATCGATGTGACATTAACCACGGAGAGGGTTGTCAGCATTAGCTCTCTAAGCTTGAGAGACAAGGAGAGGCCGTGAAAGGAAGGACACAGAACACTGAATAACTTTCCACTGATTTGTTGTTCTCAGTGTGAGGAAATGTCTTCTTAGATCTAGGTTGGATCTCTCTTTAATGATCTTCCACCAGAGGTGGTATTCAGCCAGTTCTGACCAGTTCTGGAGTACCAGTAGTGGAAAATTTGAGTAGTTTGGAGAACTGGCAAATCCCACCTCTGACTGGCCCTGCCCCCATCGGCTGGTTCTTCTTTGGTTGCCCTGCCCAGGAGAACAGAGCTGGAAAGCAGGTTAGTGGGGTGGGGAGGGAATGCGGATTTTGCAGTATCCTTCCCCTGCCACGCCCACTCAGCCACACCCACCAAGCCACATCAAGCCACGCCCACAGAACTGGTAGTTAAAATATTTTGAATCCCACTGCTGGTCCCAGGATCGGATGACCCCCTTATGCAACCTTCTGTCAAGCAAACCCAATGGGGAAACCAGATTTACTTAACGACGGCATTACTAATTTAACAACTTAATGACTGTGGCAAGAAAAATCATAAAATGGGGCAAGACTCACCACAAAATTCTCACGTAGCATCATCAATTTTGGGCTCAGTTTT